GCAAACAAGGCATGAACATTCAATTTCCCATACCTCCGGACACAAAGTTTTAAGGATGCAGATTACTAGCGACAAATTGCGGTGGCGATCATAGGGTACCGTCAAAGGGGTCTTGTGGTTCTGAAACAGGTGGTGCGTAGCTGGCGTTCGCTGCGCTCTGGCTGTGGACATATCGGGCATGCCGGAAAGCGGTAGTTGGCCAGATGTTATAGTCCGGACAGTTCAAACTCTTTCTGTGTCCTTTCTCTATGATCACACCACAATTAGTTATAAGCAAAATATTGTATCAAAAGGCGGTGAACTTTAAAGTCAGTTTGAAAATCATAACTTTAAATGCTTTGACTGGACATTTTATGCATATGCTCAACTTTAATACATAATTAAAGTTTCCAGCCCCTCTTCCTTTTTTCTCTGCCCTCTTTTAAGTTATCTTTGTCCCCATATAATTTTCATTTTTACCAGTCATCTTTCTATTTATTCAACAGTGATATCATGCCTTGAATGGACAATCCAGACTCAATACAGGTTCCTTATCCAAATGACTTAAATTACATCAAATGTCGAACATTTATTTTTAACCACAACCACAGCTTTTATAAACGAGTGATGTAGGCATGATGGATTTGCATCACGGAACACTGAGCATGCGTTTTTATGGAGACTGTCATTTGACCAAATGAAAGAAATGATTGAAATAAGTCCATTGTTTGTTACATAGCTTGTGCTCGGTCATAAAAAGCTCGGTCTGCAGTTTGTTTTTACACAGATTACTTATCATAATGTTCTATTCACAAGACACACTTAATATTAATGCACTAATTCAGCTCGAAACTTCAGCGTATTCAGAATTCCACTGCCAGACTTGTTACACGTTCGTGTTCGTTACACACTGTATATTTGCTGTGACACCTTTACTGTGTGCCATGGCAAGTGGTTCCTATTATGGTCTCCAGTTTTGGTACTAATATCGACTAAGCTTCATTTCACATTTCACTATTCGATGGCCTTCCCATCCTGCCCATATTATACCGCGATCATTTGGACCTTGTTGATATTCCCCATTAAGGCCGTACGGAGCACCAGAGGTACCATTGCAAGTGTCAAGCCACCAGCCTCCCTTCAGCTCAGCTGTACAATTAGAATTGGTATCCTCATCATTGTCCCTGTCGTAGGTAGAGAAGCTTCGACCGTTGAGATGTGGAGGGAGGAGATCTGACGCAGACGTTAGAAAAAAAACCAGAAAAAATCAATTTTTATTAATTTAAGAATAAGGGGAACATTGAGAAAACCAAGCAAAATTGAGAAAGGGCATACAAGTATTGCAGTGTTCTATGTATGTGAGCTCTGGCAATCTTACTGGGAACCATTGGCACCACCAAGATAATGTTAAAGCTCTGACTTTGGGCAAGGATTTCCTAATTAAGTGGTATGGGTTTTGTCATTAAACTAGTACTTGCTGAAATGCTCTGAACATTTTCAAATTTGATAGAAATATGAAAATAACGTAAAGGTGGAGTCTAACGTCTCAGCGAAACACAGAGTTTGTCTTGGTTGCAAATGAATAAACCAAGACTAGACTGTTTCAGTCTGGTGTAATGTATTTGCAGGACTACTAAATCATACCAGCCTGAAATGGTCCACCGTTACTCCAAGTGTATTTCTCGCCGCTGATGCTGAATCCCTTGGCCCGGTAGGTTTGATGCTCTGCCTTGTCATCCTCCAGATCTATCCGTACCCTCCACCTTTTCTCTGATGTTAGCTGACGAAGTTTCTGGTTTCCCAGCCAGAACTCGCTCTTCAGATCGCCGAATCCTTCCTGGTACTCGGTCCAGTTGCGAGTGAAATTCACGGACCCGTCAAACCGCCTCTGAAACAACTGTAACAAAATAATTTAATTAACTTGTATTGAACAATCTGTAACTACCAGGTATTCCAAAACCATAATCTATGACATTTCGACATAATGGTGCGCACAGTCAGTCTGCTGAACGACCCATACTGTGACTGGATTCAGTCGAGCTGTTCGTATTCAAAGCGACTTTTCTTCAACAACTTTTCAAACACAATAGAGTCTTTTTTAATGCTTGAGACAAGGTGTAAACATCTGATGGAGGTAGAACTAACTAACCGCTTGATTAAATCAGTTCCATTCAGGATAATCCGCCACCTGGCCACTTGAAAATATCAAAGCGGTGTAACAAACTTACGGTCCAGCCGCCAAGTGTAGCATCCATATCACAGTAGACCTCTAGACCGTCAGGGTACTTCCTCGGGTAGATGGTGTACACACCACTCTGACGGATACCACGGTTGTACAAAGTGTAGCAATCTGAAAAATTAAAGAAATTCTCTGAAATTTGCATGCAAAACATAACACATCATTATTGATGGTCTTTGAAGGGTGCAATCTTGTGACGTCACGCCTCCAGTGGCGACGGTTTGGACAACTGCGCCCTCCTATACTTGGGGCCAGAGCTGTGTATAGAGAAACTAGCGCCGGCTTCAGATTTTAGAGCAAAATGGTTGATCCTTATGAGTGCAGTAGAGCGTGCGCCTATTGCACGGCACGTCCGTGTGCACTGCCGCATACACCTGTCAGTTTGTTTACAACAATCGTCACACCCATGGCAAAATTGTCTCTATTCAAGGCTGTGCTCGGGGTGAGGTACGGACGCCTGCATGGGACTTTCCGGGCCATTTGAGGCGATCAACCCTTTGAATCGACCGTGAGCTCCTACAACTTCTCAAGCCCCTCAACGACGCATGCAGTACTCAGGCAAAGTCCGCTAAGCCAGAACTTTGATTTTTTTGGGGGGGGGTTTCTTGTGGTTTGGTTTGGTTTGGTTTGGTTTGCCAAGCTCGTAGCTCAGGTAAAACTAACCGCATATTTGCCTCGCAACCTCTCAAAAGAGAAATCTCAGCACCAACCGCACATGGTGAGGCACGTGCAGAGTAAATAGTAACAAATGCCTTCTTTCCTGAGAAGAAATCTCATAAGAACGGCGGGCTCCAATTACTGAAATTTACAAAGTTCTGTCAGTTGATTGTTGTATTCTTTAAGCTATTGTATTGAGAACTTATTAGATGTTTTATTAAAAGTAATAATCTGGTATCCTATTTACTTCAATTTAGCTATACTATGTCGAGCTTCAGGATTTACCCTTTTATCTTGAAGCGACACAGCTTCATTTCGCGACTCCGCGCTAACGCAAGGTTCCCCCGATCAGCCCATCTAATACTGCGGTAATCCCGTCGGTCGAATTCTCAGGAAGGAGATATTTGCCGTTCAGATTGCTCCAAGATTCCTGCAGAGACTCACACTGGTCAAACCGCCAACCTCCTCTCGCCAGAGAGTACGTCCCCCCCCAAAAAAAAGGCTCGGCCGATGTTCTGCAGTTGTGCCAAAGTCAAAATTAATGAGTCGCTCTAATTAACTTGATATCCTAATTATTGGCATTTTGTCGGTAAAACGTGAATGGAAATAAGACCTGTAAGGTAACAAACACGTTTTAATGAGATTTGGTTGTGTCAAAAAGATTCTGAGTCTTAATGACTTACGATAGGGGTGGAAGCGACGCAGCTTCATTTCAACACCAAGAACTACTGAAACGTTCCGTCCATCCACCCATCTAATACCACGGTATTCCAAGTCAGTGGAACT